AATACTTTAGTACTCCAAACATGTAATTAATAACTGTCTTTCTGCATTATATTGATTTGTATTAGATTTCTGTAAGGGATTTGAGGCACAGTGTAAGTTTTTATTAGATTCTCGTATTCATGCGATTACAACCCTGCACGAACATAGCATTATACCTACTACTGCAGCGGTACGAAAATAGAGAATGAAAATCCCGCGGTTGGAGTAAGCGACAGTAAACCGTCAGTACGTATGGTGTACCGAACGAATCGGATGTCAAACTTGTTATTTGGAATCAAGACAAAAATCTATGCAACAATAGAAGCGAAAGCGACTTGGAACGAAAAATAACCGCAACGAGTTAAATCCTCCTTGCAAAAAGAACAACGTAATAATAACGAATTCTTGAAAGCAGAATGTATCCAATTATTTCATAAATGATATTAATTAGAGTATTTTGCTTGCTTTCAAGGGAAAGAAAATAATTATGCTTCCGAGTCAGTTTCGAGCGTTCGTGAAATAATTTCAGTTGATATTCTATGATTAAATAAAAATGTTTTAAATAAGAATATATGCAATCATTGTGAGTTGAATCCTTTTTGAAAAAAGATTATCTTAAATAATTGTTTTGCAATGTATTATAATTGTAACATTTTACTTATTTAGAAGGAACAACAACAATAAAATATCTGAATACATCGTTATAGAATGTCTTTGCAACCATAAAAGTCTAGGTAAAAATAAAAAGTTTAAAACATTCTTGTATATCTCTTATCATTTTGATAACACAGTTATATTATAGTTGAATGTTGTATCCAAATACTAGAAATCGCTTCGAGATTTTGGATGGAGAAAGAATTAATAAATTGCAATTAACAAACACGTGATTAGTTATTTCTTTCTTCATCCGAAATTTCAGAGCGATTTTTAGTATCGCGAATAAGGCTTAGAAATATAAAAATCAATTCTTTTCTAAGTCTTATGTTTGCGATGCTAGAAATCGCTAGCTTTAAAAAAAAATTTATTCCCTTCACGTGCGTAAGAGTATTTATAAAAAATAGAATGCGTATCTTATTTTATCTTGTATTACAACATGCAAAATTCATCAAAATCAAAGAGGATACATTTGATATGTTTTCTTCAGAGTCAGTTTCGGGCATTAGCATTTGAAGATTCCGATTAATATCTTGCAATTAAATAAGAAATGCATTGAGATGTGTGTTTCTCAATAGGATACGCATGTTCTGAGATTACATATCTTCGCATACGTGTGCCAGGTAGATCTTTCCGGATACCCCGACACATGACGGGGATGAAAGATGGAATGCAAAGATACGAATGGACATTTGCCAAGTGAAAACTTGTGCGCGGACAGTGCTCTACGCGAAAACAATAAACAACCATCCTGTATCTGAAATAAACTGAAGAACGGTCATTTATCATTATTTTTTTGAGAATGCGCTACACAAGTCATGACAGATTGAAAGTTATGCGGCTTGCGTTATATTGCGCTAATACACGTACTCAATTAGTATTATTCTTGAAACAAAAACACGATGTTTATTTGCTACGAAAATGGCAGCTTCTATACGTTGCATTTCGATACGTTTAGTCACTTTAATTCGAGGCACGCGTATGCAACGTTGATAAATTGGAATCGCTCTCTTCTGCGAGGATCTCTAATACTTACAACGTATTAAGATTAAAAAATTTTCGATCAAAGGATATATAAAAATAAAGTAAAATGAAACAATTATTTTATGTTTCAATATAAACTTTTTATTATAATACATTTTTAGAAAAATGAAATAATTTTTTTGTATTATTAAAAAATGTTTTGAATTTGTATTTTTAAAATAGACGATTGGTAAAATTTATTTTTCAGAACTGAAATTTAATTTATGTGGAAAAAATCTACCAATGAAACTATTTACAATAAACCATTTTAAGAACAAAAACTTAATATATTTTTTAGTAACGTAGAAATTCATTGATCCAAAAAATGAACTATTATTTTTTGAAAATTATAATTTAGAATTATAATTTAGAAAATGTAATATTTCTTCTTTTAATTACTTTCTTAGAAAAACAATTAGATAATTACATTTAAAATTTAATTGATAAAAATCTATAAATAATACCTTTTATTTTATGAAATTTTAATGCAAAAAAATTTTAATACAAAATTTTACTTTATGAACAATTATTTATAAGTAATTTTTCTTGTGAATTCTTTCTACATTTTGTTATCCAAAATTGTCATATTTTTGCTGACATTCTATCACGACATTTGCAGCAGACATTTTCAAAATCTATTTTCGATAGATTTGGCTAAGGGAGTATTGTTGATTTTTATCTATAGATGAATTATATTATGATCATTCATTTTATTTTATTTTAAATTAATCAATGTTTATTGATATAATTATCTTGAATTATTACATATGCTTATATTTATACCTATTTATACCTTATTTCAATGACGAGAACATACTTTACTCGCAGGCCATCTAATAGTTGTTGCTACTAACATAAAATAATTTTGTATACACTCGCGGACTCACATTATTCAATGTTGTGATGGTATCCACCAACAACAAAGATGGCTCGCGAGTAAAGTATGTTCTCGTCATTGAAATAAGATATAAATAGGTATAAATATAAGCATATGTAATGATTCAAGATAATTATATTATTGTACGTTAATAGTTTTTTTTTAAATAAAAATTAACTACTATAATATGATTCATCTATAGATAAAAATCAATAATCATACTCCCATTGAAATAAGCATAAATAGATATAAATATAGGAATATGCAATGACTCAAGATAATTATATCATACATATTTATTTTTGCACATAATTAATTAGTGATGTCAGTCTGTAGATAAAAATCAATAACCATATCCCCATGGTGAATATCCGTCGAGAATAGATTTTGACAATGTCTGCTACAAATGTCGATAGAATTTCAGCAGAAATATAAAAATGTATTAAAATAAAGGGTGATTATACTGAAAAAGAAGTTATCATTTTACTTTTTGTATCCTTTAATTGGACAATTTTTGAACCTTATTATATATCATCCATATTACGATTGTCCGATTCTGACTTTTGAGTGCAGCAAATATGTTAATACTTTTTCACGGAGGTTTCCACGGATATTTACCTTAAAGATGCCAGAGGGTTTGCGGGTTATCGCTATGGATGGCATGATCCATATTGCTAATGCCATTAACACTGGATCATGACATGGCGATAACCCTCAACTTCTCTGGCATTGTCTTCGAAATACAGCTTGTCTTATGAAAACGAGCAGTACGTATATTAGAGCTAACAAATATTAATTAACTGGCATACGATCTATAATTAGCGTCGGAATGTAGAATATTCTAATTGTAATATCATGTTAAAAATTGGAATAAAATGTATGCATACATAAAATACATAAGTATAAAATATACATGTAAAAAATTATAAATTTCAGGCTAAAAAGTTTACATCTTCTAAAACGTATCTAAATATGTATCTATTAATCGAAAGCCAAGTGTAATAATTTTAAGTTAAATATAATTAATACGAAGCATGTCTATTTAATAAATATGCGACAAATAGATTTTAGTGATTCGGAATTACTGTCAGACGCATTCCCGATTTCATTAAATGTTCGTTCTTGGACGCTCGCTCGTATTCGAGATATTTGCGCTCGACAGTTGGGTCATTCCAGTTTCAGATCGCCGCTTTATTAGTTTTTGAATATAACATGACATAAATCAGTTTCCTGGCGCGTCTTGGCCTCGCGACACCTGTTTCCTTCGCGTAATCACTGAGATTCTGATCCGAATAATATACTCGCAGTCACGTGCGGCGTGTGGCTTTTATTTACAGGAAATGGTCATTTTCATCCTCGGTCAAGGTTTTACTTTTTTTAGTTCATGGTCACTTTATTGCTTCTTATTAATAAGATCATATAATTCTAAAGATGTTGCGAAAATTAAATTATCTCTTAGTAAAAATTTATGTTCTCGACTGATAAATTGAAAATTTATTGGTTTAATCAACAATAAAGGCATCAGGATATAAAAAAAAATTCCTATAATTTAATTAAGGATTTTACAAATTATCATATTTTTAACATTGATAGAATTATTCATTGTTTGACGTGTAAAAAGAATCGATATGATATTGTTTATTAATTACTTTTTTTTCATTTACAAATAATTTATGGAACATATAAATAATTTTACAGCAAAATCCAATTGTTTAATATATTATTAGTTTGCTCTAATTGCAAATACATGCAATATTTTTATGTGTTTTTAAAATTCAGCTGATTTAAGCCCGTTTCTACCAATGTATTAGGTGTTGGAATTAATTCGTAGCGTTTTTAATGTGATGGGAAGTACTTTCATTAATGTATTTTTTAATGCTCATGTGAAATAAATAACATTCTTTCATTAAAAACGCTACGAATTAATTCCAACACCTAATAGATTAACTTTAATCTCAATTCAACTTACTCTTCATCTTTTTCTCATTCTTAAAACTGAAAAAAATGAAAAATTAATTATAATTAAACCGAGATTAAAGTTAAATTGATTGGTAGAAACGAGCATTAGCGTGTTTAAAAAAAGGAAAAAGTCGTATGTAACAATCGAGTAATCGATCCGACTTCAAAGATAAGAATAATCGTCGATAGATCGATTAGTCGACTTGTCATCTTTATTTCTTAATTGAGGCCGGTTAGTATTTTGACGTTTCCTGCGTGTTCACGCGTGATTATCTCTGATTTACAATCGTCCACAATCTGCAAACAACATCTTTAGCAACGAAGAAGATGCCTGGCATTCCAATGGAGCGAGACAGTAACATGTTAGGGAAGCTGCAGAGCGAACGGACACAAGACGAACCGAAGTGCGAGTCCGTTGTGCGAGAGATTACGCAAACCGATCGGCTGAATAAGAAGTTGCTCGTGTCGGTTTTGGAGCGTATGAAAAAGTCGGACGGACAGTTTGACAAATTTATGGAGGACGGGAAAGGAAGTTGCGAGTCGCACGACGACAGCGATTTTTAGAACGACCTGTAAATCTTAGTACCTAAGTAAGTCTAACCTGTAACTTTTAGATCGTTTAAAGACCAATTATTTAGAAATTTGATATCGTTTGATATGAGAAACTGTTTCTCCCACATCGATTTTGTCACAGTCGCAACTTCGAGGTCAATTGCTACAAATCCTTTGAAGCAATTGTTTATTTGATTGACTAATCAGAAGAAAGAATGTTATTTTTACTGATTTAAGAAATGTTACTGCATTTTAAGATTTTCCTCATGATTTGATGATTTTTTTCAGAAACCTGCTTAAGCGGTGATCAAATTGAATCAATAGATACTTCACATCATTATGGCAGATATTCCAGATTACGAGGGCGACGATGATATCATAGAGCATTACGAGAACCAAGAATCCGATGACGAACGTGGCAGCCATGGAGAAGCAGAGGATGCGACTTCTGACAATGAGACAGGAACTGCAAGGAGAATCGATCCATCAAAGTCCAAGTCTAAGTCACACGTAGTAAGAAACCCTGTGCCCAAACTTAACACAGAAAGACTGACAGGCCCCAATGGTATCCAAACCATCGAAAAGTATTTCGAAGGCTTTAAATTCTACGGCAAGGGACATGAAAAAACGGACCTTGACAGAATCATGAAAAGACTGGAACATTGGTCCTATCGATTATTTCCCAAATATCATTTTGATGATTTTCTCACGAGACTCGAGCAACTAGGTACGAAGAAAGATTTACAGGTGTTTATCAAGAAATATCGATTGGATATGATTACTTCGGATGATAATTTGATCACTAATGATATGGATAAAGATGACGAGAATGAACAGGAGGAAAGCGCGCCTTTGGATAATTTCGATTTACTGATAACAGAACAAATTCAGAAACAAAAGCAAGCGGAAACACGGGCTTCTATTGATCCTCCAAGCACTTCAAATGAGGATGCATTTGACAAGCTTTTAATGCAGTCCATTGGTACACAAAATTCACAAATACCATATACAGATACTACCGCTAATGAAATGAGTGACGAACTGAAGCAAAAAATCGAGAGGAACAAGCTATTAGCTATTCAAAGAAGACTCCAAAAGCAGAAAGAGCGCGATGAAGAAGTTAAGAGAACAAAGTTCGATGATATGAATGTAGAAACTCTAAACAAAAGCAATAATCTTAAAATCCATAATGAGACGAATATATCCCAGGTAGACAGTATAGCATCACAAATTAACGAAAATACAAATGAAGCAATTGTTACTGAGACAATACTACCAAATGAAGAGCTAGTGAATGAAACAGACCATATTTAAAATAAAATCTTGCAGTAGTTGTAAGTTTTGCTGTCCACAGAAGATATCATATAAATACGTTTATTATACAGTATAAAAATTGTCTCATCTCAAATTACTGTATAGAAATAAGCCAAAATGTAGTTATTTAAAGATATATGTAAAGATGAATTTTTTCAAAAGCTTATTAAATAAACATTTAGTTTTTAGTTATTTATATTTCATGATTAATTTCTACGTTTCTGTGTACTGATGTACAACACATTGTTTCCCCGTATAAAAGCATCTCCGTATTTATCCTTTAATTGTCCATTAACATACTCTTCTGTTTGTTCAAGTGCTATGTTCATGTAGCCATCTATACAAGCTAGTACACCTACAAACAATACATAATATTAGAATATGGAGTGTTTTAAAAGAAAAGTATTTTAAGGTCAATATTAATAACTTGATCTTATTTCAAGACAATCTTAAGTGATATCTTAAGATGTTAATATGTATGGTTTTTCTGGTTCTCATAATTAATTCTTCTATTTAAAACCATCTCAAGTACAATATTAAGATATTATGAACCAATCAGAGAACCATATTAGCAGATTAAAACATATATTACTTAAAATAGTTTTAAAATAAGAACTCACTATCAGCCTCTGATTGATTCATGATATCTTAAAATTAAATTTTAAAATTGTACTTAAATATAAGAATCAAGTATGAATAAACCTGTGATTGATTTATGACATCTTAAGACTACTTAAGACAGTCTTAAGTATAAGAACTGATTATGAATATCGGTTTAAGATCCAAAATAATAATCACTAATAATATTCACTAATTACATTAAAAACACATTGATATAGATAAAAAGAATTGACGCAATTCTTGACTTTTAATATAAACAATTTGCTAAATATTATTACATATCAAATTTAAAAGTAAGTATTTATTAATATATATTAATATTGTTAATAAATATCTACCTCTATAATCGACGCCACTGTTCAGTTTTACAACAACAGGTCGACCATGAATTTGTTGTATAAATTGAGATAATGCTTCCTTTCGACTCATCTGTCAATGCACAAACATAATATTAATACCTTAAAGAAATTATGCATTACAGAAAAATAAATAGTCGCGTTAAAGCATTGTTTATATGGCGCGATGTTCAGTAATTTTTTTATTTAACAACAAAACATAAGTACAATCGTCACTACTATTCTGCATACCTTCGTAAATAATACAAACAATTGATCTCTCTTCGTGAGTCGTCTAAATTCAAAACAATTTTAACCTCTCTTCGGAATTCGGACAACGGCACATAATAGACGCCAAGTCGGCAAAAACAGGTAGCCAGCTTGCCGATTGAATATGATTGGTTTAGGTTTCTCTCATGCCTGTAGATCCACTGCTCCACATCCAACTTCATAAAAATTACATTCGACGCTAAAGCGCCACAAATTTTGGAACATAACATCAAAGATGAAAAGAGGCATAAATTTTATTGTATTTTTAAATTTAGTAAAAACTGAAAATTTTTATTTACATTTTTTAGTATTTATTGATTAAGTATTAAAAAAGTCTTTCTTTTTAAATTGTTTGTAGTTTTGCGAATTCAAGATAAAAAGCTTTATTACTTTTATTAATATTTTAACAAAACGTAATTAAGTTTGCTCATGTTGCAATATTAAAAGGTGAAGGAAATAGTAACAGATTGTTATCTTTTTAAATAACGGTAACTGTAGTTAATTTTTAAAAATAACTTTTCCACTCTGATTATTTCACATTGCATAAATTATAGCGTGTTACGAATAATTACAAAAAGGCAAAAAATAATAGAATCGTCAAACAAATATATGCGTGAAATAAAAAAAAAATATATGTATATATACATATATATATATATATATATATATATATATATACGTATTTATACTTTTTCCTCAGGAGTACCATTTGCGTCATCGATTAAATAAAATCATATATGCCCATAAAAAATGTACATATATAAAAAGTCATTATATATGAATTATTCATAAGTGATTGTAGATATTGGGCTGGGTATTTTAAGCTAAATACATCATCATCACCCACAGTGATGTATTGACTAATTCTTCACTGATTTCATTATACATATTATACAAGTATATGAATGCGTTGTATAAGAAAAGAAAATAATGCATTTTAAAAAATTATTAATTATGTTGATTACTAATAACTGTCTTTGGTAATTGGCACCATTATTTTTTAAAAACGCTATATAAAAATAAACATTATCTAATACAAAATTTATAATTACGCACATTAGTTAGCTAAATAATAATTTAAAGTAAAGAGCGTGTTCAATACATTAATTGCGAAAATATAATCTTATTTAATCATATTACAGCATATATTTTGTTCAACTAATAATAATAATAATGAAAATTCTATTGTGACGTACAAAACATAAAAAATAAAACATACAAAACTCACTGTGCAGAAAATGTATTAACACACTCAATTAAAGACGGATAATTACATTACAAAAAACTAGGAAATAACAAAAGAATTTCCAGTCAATCATCATCATGCAACCGGATTTGTAATCCCGACGAACACAAACAAGTCTTGATGTACCGTCAGACTATTATATTATAATCACGGAGTTACACAACGCGATTAGCGATAAATTACATCATTTGAGTATTCATTAATGAAAAACCGGTATTCCCAGCTAATAAAAACAGCATTAACTAACGCATAGCTTTATTATATAGCAGGTTGCTTTATTATGTAGCAAGATAACAGGCATTATGATTTACTTGATCGGTACTTATGATTCGTCATATTTATATTCTTATATTGAGAGATTTTAAAGCTCTATACAATCAGATAATTTAAGATTCAATAAAGTTTCATTTGATTACACTTAGAAATAAAGATAAACTTGAAAACATTTTTATAACTAAACGCCGTAATTGCTAGTTTCTGATTTATTAGACAATGACATATTTGATTATTATAACAGATTGTAGATATTTAAATAAGATGTGAAAAAATAAAATTTTTTTATTACAAAAATGGGTAAAACAGGAAAGTGGATCACTCTTTAATTTAACATAAATTAAAGAGGTTTTCTAAATCATTTAAAAATACGAAAATAAATAGAAATATTTTCGATATTTAGACATTGATCTTAATGTTAATTGTAGACGTAAATGCTTTTTCTTTGTGGGATTAGGAAACATCAATAAAGCACTTAGAAGAATGTTATATAATCTCATGGATTTATTTTCAGCATTACATTACGCTTAACGGGATTTGGAAATAAATAAACCGTAAACCTTGAATTATGTAAAATAACGTTTATGTAAAAATAGATATTTGTAATTACAGCTATGCATCTTGAGTCGTAAGGAAGATCTCTAGCACAGCAACAATTTCCGAAATCAAGATGAAAATTAAACGCGACATTTATGCTGGAATTTTACCAGCTTTAACAGAGTAAGTACCTTTACCAGTATTGTCTATGTTAGACGCGCTGCTGCTGTAAACTCCTTTGGCTCCTTCGACAGTACCGCTCTTGCTGGTACCACCGTCATCAGTGTCACCAATACGGGAGAATAGACTACAAACGAAATCAGACAGTTATCAAAAAATTAATGTCTCTTATCAAGGGATTTTAATACTTTGACTTGAAAGTTATAATAAAGTACATAATGAGTACTTTAAAATTTTTAGATGATGATCTCAGACATGCCTTTTCTTTTTAACATATTCCTCTTTTTTAATAATTTCAATAATATTAAAGTTTTTTTTTATAGAAATAAAAGAAAACATATTTTTTAATGAAACTGAAAAAACTTTTTAATATTGAAAATTTTGTATGAAATGTGTAAAGTTCTTAAAGAAACAACAATTAGTATTAGCTATTTGGGTCTTTGTTGACTGTCCATTCAAGGTTTATTTGTGCAATAAATTATCATGTTTTACCGATTTCCATAATCAAATACGTAGTTTGCGTATTATGGATTATAACGAATAAGATATACGGAGATATTCGATCTTACAAGCGAAAAACTTGTTCACCTTGAAATCTATTCTGTTGAGAAAACACGGATTAGTTCATCATATACTAAATTCTGATGTCATTAGACGATTGCCGAATAATTTTTCTTGCAGTGTTTTGGACTATAATTATAACACCGAGTTAATTATTATTAATCATAATAGTAGATTGTTAAATTAGAAAATATTTTTTTAATCTTTTAAACAAAATTGAGGTTTATATATAAATTGTTTTCAAATCATGAGTAACTGAGATTGAAATACTACGAAATTTTATGGTATGTACTCATATATATATATTTTTTTTGTAATACATACTCCACTCCCGGTCCGTGACCGCCAAGACCTCCGTGACCTCCATATCCGCCACTTCCAGCACCGGCATTTGCGCTCGCACTAGCTTGGGCATTAGCATATCCACCACCACTAGTACCACATCTTCCACTAACACATCCACCTAGAACATGAGACCCAATGATTAATTAATTTATCTTAAATAATTAACATTATCTCATGTGCCATTAAATTTTTATTCTAATTACCTCCATGTCCACCGCCCAATCCACCTCCATGTCCACCACCCAATCCACCTCCATGTCCTCCACCGTATCCACCACTTAAACCTCCTCCATGTCCACCTAAAGATCCTCCATGTCCACCGCCTCCATGTCCACCTAATTCAGCAATAGTATTAGCTTAATTTTTTAATGTACCTTTTTCAAGATTACCATCACCATCTATTATTAAAATTTACATAGAATTTACATAGTCTCAAAACTTGAAAAGATATGGAAATGTAGAATAATTCAAATTTTTAGAATTAAATACTGGAGAGATTGTAGAAATAATAAAAGTATGTTGAAAATATAAAATTTAAAAAACAAAGATAATTTCAAATATATTTAAATCGAATAGATTTTAATGGCATAAACAAGTTAAATATTTTTTTAAATGTTTTTTTATGGTCACCTCCGTAATTATCTGTATTAGAACCTACCTCCCAAATCATCGTTGCCATAGCCACCTCCACCACCTCCGTAACTACCTCCATGAGAACCAGCCCCGCCATACCCACCACCGCTACCACCACCACCACCAGCACCACCACCACCACCACCACCACCATGTCCTCCGTGGCCATCACCATCATGTCCTCCTGAACTACTTCCTCCATAACTGCCAGCACCGGCACTACTTCCACTGTAGCTGCCGGCACTAGACCCACCTCCACCATAACCACCTCCACTAACTTTGTCAATTCCATCACCGTGACTATCTAAAAATGCGCAAAAATTATATAAAAAAATAAAGCGGGTATAAAAAGCTTTATATATTAAAATGGTCTTATTAAATTGAGAAAAATTATTACTGTTGTTATAAAAAAAGCAAAGAATAAAAACCGTTTGTTTTAGATAATTTTTTTAAAATTACTTTTACTCTGTTATCTGATGAATTATACTTATTTCTATATTATTTTTAGACTGCGCAAATATTTTAGTGTAATATTTTTGAAACGTATTATTCTATTAAAATGAAAACGAAGCGTAATTATATTTAAATCACTAAGTATTAATTTCTAGTTATTATTACACTATCTACATATATATCTACACTCTATATACATACAAATTTTTTTGTTTAAACTTACCACCACCATAGCCTCCGAGTCCTGAAAAAAATTTACGAAACATTAATTTTAGATTAAGTATTGATATATGCTTTTGTAAATTAAACATTTGAAGAAATATAATTAGAAAATTAATTATTCTTGATTAAACTGCTCAAAATTAATAAAAATAAAAAGTTAATCACCATATCCGCCTTTGTGCCCACCTCCATGGCCGCCACCTCCGTATCCACCGCTGCCTCCGTATCCGCCGCTGCCTCCGTATCCGCCGCCGCCGCTTCCATGTCCTCCACCTCCATGGCCACCACCTCCGTATCCACCACTGCTGCCATGTCCACCTCCTAATCCACCGCCGCTTTCATATCCACCACCTCCGTGACCACCGCCATGGCCACCTCCGTGACCACCGCCACTTCCGAGTCCACCACCTCCGTGACCACCGCCAATTCCGAGTCCACCATCTCCGTGACCACCGCCAATTCCACCATGTCCACCGCCACCTCCGATTCCGCCATGACTACCGCCTCCGTATCCACCTCCGCTACCAATGCCATCAATACCACCTGCTAGACTACCACCGTGTCCACTGCCACCGCCAAAGCCACCATGTCCACCGCCACCCCCGTAACCGCCGTGTCCACTGCTACCTCCAAGTCCGCCACCATGACCACCGCCACCACCGCCGTGTCCACTACCACTGTGTCCACCACCACCGTATCCACCACCGCCATGTCCACCGCCTCCGTATCCTCCATTTGTCAAAGCCGAGGCTTGTGCACCTGCCGAAGCACTACCGATAGCTTGAGAATCGGATTTGGAGAAACCGCCACCATCACCATACGAGCTTGCGCTGGCCGAACTGCTAGCGCTACTGAAAGCGCTACCTCCACTATAACGCTTCAAACGCAGTAATTCATTTTCTGCAACAAATTGAACAAATTGTTTTTATATTATCAAATTAAATGATTGAAAATATGATTTTAAATAAATCACAAATCCATTTATATACAGAATAAAATATTTTATATTTTTTATAAATAATTTCTCTTTTTTCATATTCACCATGACTGCCGTCAATTCCAACATAAGGAGGGATTGCACCTCCGAGTCCCTCACTTACGCTAACTTCATGGCTGAAACCGCTATTTCCACGGTATACATATACATTCCTGACTATTATGGAGTAAAAATATAAAATTGTTTCAATGCTTGTAAAAAATAAAAATGTACTAGTTTAAGCAAAATGTTTATCTTGGATCAGAGTTCAAGTATTTACAAACAACAGTTATCTATGCAACTATAACAAATTTCTGCAATTATTGCAAATATTTGTTATCAATTTTTCAGAAAAAAATCTAAAACTTGCGGTGGCTTTGTATTTTTATATATGCTTTCTTCGAAGAGTAATCGCAAAGCTAAAAAGGAAGACGCGCAACACGCATTTACACACATATATTAATGAATGTTACGTCATGAGAGAAAGATTATCGTTATCTTACTAATAATAAAATCTTAGAAAATCAAATTGACATTTTACGCATTATATCTTGTATAGACTATAAATATCAATTTTTAAATAAGAACAATGTATATACATGTATTGTAATTATTTTATCATTTTGCTGTTCAAAATTTTTATTTTGCTTGTTATGTAAAATAAAATATTAATTGTGTATTTTATGCATGCATATATGTATATGTATATGTATATAATATATTTATATTAGGATAAGAAAATATTTAATAATGATAATAAAATATTAAGTTTTCTTTTATATGTTCCACAGATCTGATGAAAGAGTTTTTCTTTTTGTAACAAATATATCCTTTCTTATTTAAACAATAAAAATAATAACAAAAGCAAAATGTATCTCAGGCAAATTAATAATGATGACAAGTTAATACAGAAGAAGAAAATAATTTACCTATTCCACCTATTCCTCCTACTCCACCAGCTGGTATTTGTGCTTGGGTACATGTTGCGAATATTAAGGCCAAAAGGCCAATTGTCCGATACTGCCACATGACGATATCTGGTCTCTATCCTGATCGGCCGCCAAGTCTTTATATCTTGTCTCCCACTCGATCACTCATGCCTTCTTAAAACTCTGAGTACTCCGTTAGAGAGATTGAGAAGCAATAAGAGCAAAAAAGTACGATGCACACACAAGGTTGAGACAATCACCTAATGTGTGATCTTATCCGGGATCTTAGTCGGGAATTCACCTGGACCTGTCATCGTATTTTCTTGTACTTTCGTTTACCTTAATTTCGATGACATAAATAGTTTACATCCTGTTACAAAATACAATGTAAACAATTGTCTTCAGAAAGTATTTTAAGTTAGACGAATGCAATATAGATTGCAATTCTAAAAATAAAAGGTGTACACAATTTACTTTCTTAATTTTTTTCTTTAATTGATTTTTTCATTTCTTGACGTTTCAAAGATTAAGCGTCAGATATGAATAATGCAAAAATATATTGTTTGTAGTTATTCGCGATAACATAAAAAAGTACTGGTAATCCAATGTTAGACCAATCGAATGAATCGACCTTTGTAAAAAAAAAGAAGATAAATATTTAAAAAAAGATATAAGAAATATAAGAATAATTTATGCTAAAACAATAATTTGTATTCTACGGATTAAGTCTATCTTTTCAGAGAAGTATGGAAAATAAAGTAATTTTTTACTTGTTATTTATAGCAAAAATATATTTATTAGACAATTCAAGAAAAGAAGCCTCTAAAAGATCAAGTCATATGCAGAACAAGAGATTTAATCACAAAGAGAAATAAGGATAGAGTAGTACGAAATAAAGACATTTTCTCTTGTTTAATATGATTTACTAATTTGCGAGTAACTTATCATTTATTTACTATTGTTGGGAATGTGTGCTAAATATCCGTTAATAATGTAAATGTTTGGTCGTTGACATTATCAATTTTTAATAATTCAAACAGCCACGAGATGACACATCTTATACTATAAAATATTTACACGAAAGTCATTTGTAGCCTCCAGCTGATTTGTCTTGATGAATCTCAATGTCATTTTACAGATTTATTACCTATGCCAATCGTTAATACGTAATAATATTTGTCAATAATAATTGTGATTTTCCTATTATCACAAATTACTGTGTAAAGAATAAATGTGTAATGTCTGAAAATAAATGTTAACACAAAATTTAGTATTGTTTTTAAAATTTTTATGTTTTCTAATTGAATAATTATAGTAGTAAAATTAAAATCATATATTCGTTGAAGAGTTCATATTTATGAGAGTTTATATTCATTAGAAAGCATAAAGAAAAATATAGCTAATTTAATAGATCATCGTAATAGAATTTGAAAATACATAGGCAATAGAGGAAACAATATCGCAATACTCAAGACATGTTTATTACATGTTTATTTACATGTTTATTTACATGTTATGTAATTTTAGAAAAAAATAAATATAAAATGTAGATATGAATGCAAACCAGCCGATACTACTTTCAACATAAAATACCCATAAGACAGCACATAAAAATTATATAATTCCTATTTTTCCGTAAGTTGTAAGTTCCGTAAGAACGAAATGTAATTTTTTAAAAATTATTAATTTGCATTTTTTATGTGTCTTTACTTAAACTCTTTACTTCGTCTCAATTAGTGTGTGTATAAATGATAATCAGTTGAGTTTGTTCATTTGGATTTCACTTGACCACGCGTGTGTATATATGTATATATATATACACACACACACATATATATATATGTGATTCTACGAAATGTATATTCTGTGAACAGCATATCAATTTATACGCTACGTAAATTAAATTATAGGAAAAATATTAAATAAAAACGTATATATTCTCTTACTACATCCGATAATTAAAACACTTTGGTTATTTATGCTAAAAATTACATTCTGTTAGAACCGCAAATTTCCCGGGATCGATTTGTCTGTATTTTTATGGAACATTGTATAATCGTTTGATGGCACAGCATGCGGTAACCATTAATAAATCTCAAATTTAAAAAATATGATATTTTTTTCAAAAACCTTTTTAGGTTTTATTACATAATCTGAGAATATCGCACGTATTATATATTTCTACATTTTCACATTATCATAATTAAATAAAACGGGGAAAAAATACAACAAATTCTCTCTAATCGCTTTAAAAGATTAAACTGACATATAATCAAAATAGCGAGATAGTTCATGGCTGCCGTCATCAAAATTTTTTGATATTTTCTCGATGCAATGATTTATGATTTGCATACTTAGCATAAAATAAACAACATAATACAAGAAGATATTCATTTAATAAACTAAACTCGCAAACTGTTGTTAAAGTCTGTGTGTAAAAGACGCCATGCGCCGATAAATTAAAAGAATCTATGATAACTTCCATTTAATGTTTAAATACTGACTCAATCGCTGTGTATATGCTTGAATACGCAGTTTAAATTTCCATAAAATGCAAATAATAAATCGTGATACGGAGGTAAATAAATCATTAAAACTATTCTTAAAGTGTATATAATCATAAATCTTTTATCTCGCTGTCTGAATAGAGAACAAAAGCTTCTACACAGCCACTTTTCTTGTGCAAAAATACATAGTCAATAAAAATTTCATTTTTAAAGTAAAGAAAATATAAAGATTTAAAAATTTACAGGCTACTATGTTGTTTTTCTCAGATTAAAAAAGGTCAAATTAAATAGAGATAAGTAATTATCTTTAAACTTATTTTGTTTAATTTTTGTATCGTTAGATGTATCTAATAAATGTTTAAAGAACTTTATGCCTCGTATAAAATACAATAGGATTAACAAATGATGGATTTATCGCTAATCTGACAGTTTTTATCAAGAATGCGATTATAATACTTTTTTAAATAATTATATTCGTTTATTCATTATATGTTCATTATATTGTGTTTTTTTTTTGTTAGTGTATATCTTGACAAATATGAATAAAATACAACAAATAAACAAAATTCAGATATAATTAAAAAATATCTACAGATATTAATAAAGCAATGTAAAAAATTTTTTTAATATAGATAATATTTATAAAAAGATATTATAATATAAGTATAAGACAATTATAATAGTTTATCTTCTCAAATCTACCGAATTCATTTTTTGTTTAATATTGATACTGAATGTAAATATTGATACTGAATGTAAATAAAGTTTTTAAAATGTATTTTCAGACACACTGGCTCATAAGTATCCTTCTACATTTAAAGTACAAATATAAAAAGAAATTATAAAACAATTACTCAAAAGTAAAATAATACAAATTATTATAAATATTAATTAAATAAATATAAGATAAATAATCTTAAATTTAATGCTAATAAAAAACTTCTTTCCGAAGTTGCCATGTACGTTGACAAGGTAATAGATGATATTGGATTTCTCCAACGATTGCCTTCGCTGATATCGATGCAACAACTATCGAGTATCATTTATCATCTTCGATATCCTGGAGAACATGTAGCCACGGAATTTCCACACATCTTTTTCTTAAGAGATGAAATAGATACTTATCAATCAGCTCTTAATTTCCGGCAAGAACATCAATTAGAACGTATTTTGTACATGCAAGAAAAACGAGTAAAAAAAGAATAAATATTACGAATGATAATTACAGATTGTGACCACAACTACATTTAATTCCCGGTATTTTCTTGCGTTATCGCGGATAACATTATATACTTCTAATTCATACTAATTTAACATTGTATAATCTTCGAAATGTTAAGAATGAGAAAAAAAAATTAAGCAAGTAATTTATATCCCCTTTTTTAAGTTGTAGTTAAAACAGTGCGCAAATGGAACACTTTTGTATAGAATAAGATAATAATTAGCGTTTGTTTAATTACATCATTTGATATAGGTTTTTTATCTGACTAATATTTATCTATTTCTATCAACAGTACCAACATAGTTTAATTTTAATCTCAGATCAATTAACTCTTCTTTTTGTTTTATTCTAAGAACAAAGTGAAGAGTAAGTTATAACTTTAAACTCTCGATTCAATTTCTTAACTTATTGTTTATCTTTTTCAGTAAATTTAACCGAGATTAAAGTTAATCTTACATTGATGGCACTGGACTTGTCCAACATCTTAAAAAGTACTTTCTGCTTTTACAAATATCAAAAGTTTTTTTTCTTACCATTAATTAGAAATTTTTAACTTCATCTCCGTGTAATCACGAAACATGTTTTTTTCGTCGAAAATTATTCTGAGAGCAATTCTATTGCAATTATTGAAAGTAACAAAAACATGTATCGGTAATAACTATACTTATATTAATAGTAGAATTTGCGAATAAAAGAAAAGATGTATCATTATCTAATTTTATAAAAGATCAATTTCATCAATAATAGAATAAAAACATTTGTGTTGACTCTTGAATGAAACAATAAACGGCCTTCTTTTCGAGATTTTATTACGTATTTCGGCCTCTATCTCGCGCGTCAGGTTACATGCTTATTCATCAGCACACGTGAACGGCTTGTTAAATTCCCTTGATTCACCATATTTGCTGTGAGATCGTAATTAAGAAAAAAAAACCGCTTTTATGCCAAAACTCATTAAGTTCATTACCGGTAGAGCGGACCAGAAACGGTTTAACATTATATGCAGTTTTTTTCTCACGTTTTACGCATACGTGCTATTTACGATGCTACCGCATATTTTCGATCATGAAGCTTATATACTCGTAAAGATAAATGCACGGCTACATCAGCGGGATCATTACGAATTTTTATTTGTTTTACCTTGTTATGGGAATCATCTGCTCGGAAAGACCGTCTCTCATGAATTAACGTCAAGAGACGTTATTTCCCGAGAGATTAAATATTAATTTTAACACACAATGTTCCGATATTATCGAATATTCTTTTGCAGTCGCTAAATCATTTTTTTTTTTACAAAATCGAGAAATCTTTCCGTACTTTCCAATATTTATCTCGACATTTTTTATATCCTTATAAAATTTATGAAAAGTAAACAATTTAAAATATACAAAATTAAGAAAGTCTTCGATAGCACAATGAATTAAAATTTCAAATGAGTATCTATAAAGGGCAATGAGAGCCAAGAACGCTGTCAGTGCACAAAAATCTGTTTTATATTGAACGAATCAATTATAATTTAATTAAAACTCCAAACGTTTCGGTTCTAACAGAAAAATCTTTAGTGGGCAAACAATTTACAATTAGTCAGTATAGTGTAGTAACTCTTGATTAATTGTTTCAAAATTTTTTATGCTACTTTGTCTATTTTTTGAGTATATCTAAATATATTTTATTTATAAAATATTAAAAAATGAAGCTGCAACACCGCAAATAACAAAGGTGGCGATGTGAGTTGCTAGCACATAGCTCCTATTATATTGATCCGAAACAAACAGAACAAACTTTTTTAAAGTTAAAATTTGTCGTATGTTTGAAAAAAAGATTTAAATTTTTCATGAAATTTTCATTGAATTTTGCAATAAATAAGTATTTTTTTAAAATAATTTTTATAAACATTTAGATTCACATAGAAGCTAATTATATAGTTTAATTGTATCTACAATTTGAAGAGGATCAGTTAAATAGTTTTTAAACTATCTTGTACGTCAATTTTAAAAATAACGCTTTGAGAAAAACGCGTTCAAAGTTTTGAAAGATAAAAACTATATGATTTTATTCGTATTCTGCGTGTAACCACCTAAGCATCTTTGAAGTTAATTGACACTCTCCAAAATATCTGGTCAGTAGATATTTCTTCTCTATTTGAGCAGGCAATAATATCGGAGAAGGGATTATGAGAAGATTACAATAGGCGGATCCTTTTGCTCCGAGCGTGCTATATGGCACGCTCTGGTTACGTATATAGATAATAACTCCGCCAATTCTTCAAATTTCGATATAAAATTTTGTCAGTATATTCTTCATATGTTGTACTAATATTTTATGCAAAAAAAGTATATTCTTTTAAGATTGTAAAGGTATTTCCTTCCTTAAAACGGTCTTTATTTTCGCTAAAGAGTTAAAAATGCAAAAGATCCTTAATTTCATGTTAAAATATCACTCGAAATAGAAGAATTCAGAAAGAGAAATAAACTCACACCACACACACACAAATTAAATGATATGACATTAAAAGGAAGTTTATATATCAACAAAAATAATTGAAATATATTTAAATTTACAAAACAGAGGAGACAATCAACTATTATGATTTTCACGAAAAGATTAAATATTGAAAAAACATTGTCATCATAACAACTGATTTGACCGACGAAAGATCGAGACGCGAAAAGATCTAGAAAATATTAATTCCTATAAAAGAAAGCGCGCATCCGTACTTGAAATCTTTTATTCGCAGCCTACCACAATTAAACAGATCACCATCTCAATTAGCTGATGACAATCGTGCTTATACGCCGACGTGAATAATTTGTTTGCTGCAATCCAAATTCGTATGTAAATAGTGTAATTACATTAATATAAGTTATTATAAAGTAATATAAGTTATAATATAAATTCGGTAATATAAGTTATAATATAAATGTGATTGTACATTAAACAGTAGAACAGAGTAGAAAAAAGAAAGAGGATTTCGAGCTTTTTATTTCAAAGTCCTCTTCGCCGCTCATTATAGTCATCGAGTTTGCGATGCTCATGCATCTTCAAAAAAATATTTTAAAAACATTTAATAATAATATTAATAAAACATTAATATAGATCAGATATGACTGAAGGTTATACTTAAATCAAATCAAATTCATAATTGATGCGAAATGGTTTTTTTGCGGGAAAAATCAATTTTAATACGTTAAACATATTGTCGTTATGACAGACTATGTGTATGACATAACATTTTTTTCTACACATATATTTCTTTTACAAAAAGATGAAAGTGAGAGAGAGAGGGGGGGGGGAGAAATATTAATATAATAAATTATATAAATTTAATGATATATTTTTTTTCTTTACAGCTGAAATATTGATTTTTACATATCTAATACTATAAAGATGACTACTACCAAAGATTATCGATTAGAGTCTGTCCGTTTGGACAGCTTCAAAGACTGGTCGAACTTATGGATAAAGCCAGAAGAACTCACAGCGGCTGGATTTTATTATACGGGCGAAAGCGACAAAGTAAAATGTTTCATGTGTGAGATTGAATTAATTAAATGGAAACCAGGAGACAATCCGATAGTCAGGCATAAACTGAACTCTAAAAGATGCGATTTTATTAATAATATTTCATGGGAAAAAGTACCGATCGATATGGATCCTAGCACAATTCCTGCATCTAGTCCTGAAGGAGTAGACGAATGTGGAATATACTGTGAGGAGGTGTTGAAGATTATTGCAAACCAGCATTGCGAAGAAACAGCAGACAGAATAAATTATTGGCTGAAACATCTTCTGTACCATACAGCCTCAATACCGAAGTATCCCCAATACATTAATTATGCTGTTAGATTAGCATCGTATAATAGATGGCCTAAAATAAAGTCACAAGCTGAAAAACTAGCAACTGCTGGATTCTATCATTCGGGAAATAGCGATAAAATAGTAACATGCTATTACTGCGGTGGACAATTAGAGAATTTGGACCTGGACGATGATCCTTGGATAAAACATGCCGAATGGTTCCATCACTGTCTTTTTCTAGTTCTAACTAAAGGAACGGAATTTATAAATAACGCTATTAAGACACCGTGTATCAAAGTAATAAGCAAATTTAATAAAATATATGTATTGTTATTGGAATTATGCAATTTGTATGTTTTAAATTAATATTTTAATCTATTCATAAAATTATGAAATATAATTTTATGAAATTGTGCTGAATGCAATAATCAATTCCAAATCGTTTAATTTTTTTAGAAAAAACTTCCGTCTGTAGTTGATACAGATACAGTGGAAGAGAAATTTGATTTTGAGAAAACTGATAATGGGAATATTGCTAGTGGAAGCTCTCGAAATTCAATTAATGCTGAAAAAGGAAAACCTAATTTACTTAATACAGAAGCAAGTGATGTATCGGATGAAGCCAGCAACAAGGAATAATCTGTTTAAATACAGACTGATAAGATTATACAGAATGTAAAATTATGCAGAATTTGTTGTAGTAGAAAACAACAAATCTTATTTATGCCATGCTATGCATATATTTTTTGGCGTGTGAAAAATATGCGACAGATTTGAAAAAAATGTGTATGTGGTGAGAATATTAAATGTACTTCAAAAGCGAATATATTGTAATATCTTTAGTTTTTGTGCTAAATAATCTGTGGTTTTTTATAAAATTTTTCACTTATTGACACTTCAAGCAAAACTAAATTATCATTTAATTTTGCTGATTCATATAGTATACTGAGTAGATATGAATTAAAAAAATAATTTTAATTCTTTTTATCTCAGTATTTAAATAAAAAAATGTATGTTTTTTTTAAATGATAGAACACCGATTATTGAAGCTAATTTATATATAGCTATTATTGAATTTTATATAGTATCGAATTTTGTTTAATTTGTAAGTTTTTATCGAGATAGATTACTGAAATTGTAAATAAATTGACATCATTGGAATCGATATGAATAAAAGTTGATATATGTATTCATCGATTTTTTCTGGAGATGTTTCAGACATACTGTGTACCTTCATCTTTATTGTACATATATATATATATATATATATATA